TTTTGATGACTGCTTCAATTTCTTCCAAAGTCATGGCCTATTGAGAGTTTTAGATCCTTCCTGATTGAGTTTTGGAAGGCTATATTTTTACAGTAATCTGTCTATTTTCTACAGGTTGTCCAGTTTTTTGGAATAGAGTTGTTTGTAGTATTTTGTAACAAACATTTGTATTTCTGCGGGGTCTGTTATTGTTTCATCTCTTCCATTTCTGATTTTGTCTATTTGGGTCCTGTCTTTGCTTCTTGGTGAGTCTGGCTAGAGGTTCATCAATCTTGTTTATCCTTTCAAAAACCAGCTCTTGGTTTTGTTGATCTTTTGTATTGTTTATTTGGTGTCTATGTCGTTTATCTCTGCTATGATCTTAATTATTTCCTTCCTTCTGCTTACACTGAGCTTTTCTTTTTGTTCTCTAACTCTTTGAGTTGTAAAGTTTTGTGATTTATTACCATTATTTCTTGTTTTTTGCAGTAGGCTTGTAGAGCTATGAACTTCCCTCTTAAGACTACTTTTGCTATGTCCCACAGATTTTATATTGTTGTGTTTTTATTGTCATTTGTTCCATTACGTTTTTTATTTCTTCCTTGATCTCTCTGATAACCCAGTCATTGTTTAATAGCATGCTGTTTAGTCTCCATGTGTTTGATTTATTTGGATTATTTTTATTGTAGTTGATTTCCAGTTTTATGCTACTATGATCTGTGAATATGCTTCATATGATTTCTATCTTCATGAATTTGGAGAGACTTTTCTTATGTCCCAACATATGGTTGGTCTTTAAAAATGACCCATGTGCACTTGAGAAGAACGTATATTCTGTTACTTTGGGGTGAGATGTTCTGAAGATGCCAATTAATTCCATCTGGCCTAGTGAGTCATTTAGATTGATGTTTCTTTGTTGATTTTTTGTTTAGAGGATTTGTCCAAAGTTGATGGTGGGGTATTAAAATCTTGTACTATGGTTGTATTGCTGTTAATCTCTTCCTTGATATCTTCTAGGAGTTTTTTATGTATTTGGGTGCTCATGTATTGGGTGCATATATGTTTACCAGGGTTATTTCTTTTTGTTGAATTGCTCCCTTTAGTATTATGAAGTAGCCTTCCTTATCTCTTTTTATGTCCTTTACTTTGAGATCTAATTTGTCAGATATAAGTATTGCTATCCCAGGTTTATTTTATTTTCCATTTGCCTGGAAAACCTTTTTCCATCCCTTCACTCTCAGTCTGTGTTTGTATTTTTTTCTGAAGTGGGTTTCTTGTAGATAACAGATATGTGGGTCTTGTTTTCTTATCCAATCTGTTACACTACGTCTTTTTATTGGGGCATTTTATCCATTTACATTTAAAGTTATTATTGATAGGTACTTACTTGTCGCCATTTTTACTCTATACTCCTCTGTTCCTTCTTCACTTCCTATTTCTTTTTTCTTTTTCTTTTCTTCTACTTCTTTTTTTCTTCTTTTTTTTTTTTTTTTTTTTTTTTTTTTTTTTTTTTTTTTTTTTTCTTTTACAGCAGATCCTTTAGCATTTTTTGCATTGCTGGTTTGGTGGTGATAAATTCCCTTAGTCTTTTTTTCTGTGAAGCTCCTGATTTCACCTTCAATTTTGCTTGATAGCCTTGCTGGGTATAGTATTCTTTCCTGTACTTTTCCATGACTTTGTATATTTCATTCCATTCCCTTCTGGCCTGATGAGTTTCTGTTGAGAAATCAGTTGCTAGTCTAATGTAACTTTGTCTCTCTCTGGCAGATTTTAAGATTCTTACTTTGTCGTTGGTGTTTGCCAGTTTAATTATAATGTGTGTTTGTGTTGGTCGTTTGGGATTCATTTTGCTTGGGACTCTGCGAGCTTCTTGGGTTTGTGTGGGTTTTTTCTTCTCTATCTCAGGAAAGTTTTCTATCATTATTTCTTGAAACAGGTTTTCTATGCTTTCCTCAGTTTCCTTTTTTTCTAGAACTCCTATTATGTGGATGTTGTTTTGTTTTGTGTTGTCCCAAAGTTCCCTTAGGCTCTCTTCCTGCTTTTGAATTTTTTTTCCCTAGAAGCTGCTCTAATTGGGTATTTTTTTCCATTTTGTCTAGCTCACTGATGTAGTCATCTGCTTCTTCTAGTCTACTGTTGATGCTCTGTATTAAGTTCTTTACGTCAGTGATGTTATTTTTTATTTATTTTTGGTTCTTCCTCATTTCCTCTTGGTACTTACTCATATTGTCAAATTTGTCTTCCATTATTTTCAGCCACCTCATGACCATTTCTCTGAATTCTTGTTCTGATAGTTAGCTTGTCTCTAATTCATTTACTTCTTTTTCTTGTGATGCCTGTTTTTCTTTCAAATATGGGCTGATTCTTTGTCTCCCCATGGTCTCTCTTCAGATGTCTGGTTATGTAGTTTTCTCTCTCCTGCATTGATTTAAAGGTACAGAATACAACACAACCAGCTACAACACACAAGGTACTGAACAGCGATCTATTCTCGATATTAATTACCTCCAATATCGGTGACCACAAGAGAAAGGCAAATTAGAGTGTAAGAGAAATAGAAGAGTAAAAAAAAAGAAAAGAAAGAAAGAAAAAAATGGATTGTCAAAATGAAATTGGGAGAAGGAGCAAAATATATGCATGTGTGTATGTGTGTGTGTGTGTGTGTGTGTGTTTGTATGTGTGTGTGTGTGTATATATATATATATATATATATATGTATATTAGACTATATATATATGAGACCATATATATGTGTGTGAGTATGTGTATGTATATATATATATATATATATATATATATATATATATATATGAGGCTAGATTGAGACTAATAGAGAAACATGGAACAAACTACACATAATATGGGGAGGAAACTCTAATAGAACAACCATTAATCACAGCAAATGTCCACAAATAAGTATCTGGAGATTAATACAACCTACTCCAACTAATATCAAGAGAGGAAAGTGAAAGCAGAAGTAAAAAAAACAAACTAAAACACAGCAAACAAACACATACAATCAAACAAAAAGAATAAGCAAAACAATCTCACAAAAATGCATAAAACTTTAGTATAGTTAACATTCAAACAACTTCAAAAGGAGAGGGAGGCCAAAACCGGTTTGGCTCAATGGATAGGGCGTTGGCTTGGGGACTGAAGGGACCCAGGTTAGATTCCAGTCAAGGGCATGTACCTTGGTTGCGGGCATATCCCCAGTAGGGGGTGTGCAAGAGGCAGCTGATCGATGACTCTCTTTCATGGATGTTTCTAACTCTCTGTGTCTCTCCCTTCCTCTCTGTACAAAATAAATAAAATATATTTTATTAAAAAAAAAAAGACAGAAAAAATATATATATATTTTTTAGGACAGTGAAAAGGGAGGTGTTTATGGACTTGGAGCAGGAGGTTGAAAATGAGATATATTGTACATATAAGTAAGGTGAAATTTTAGCAGGGGGTAAACAACAGGGAAATTCTAGAACAGGGGAAGGTTAAGATAAACAGGACACCAAAGGGGGAAAGGTTAGGAAGAAAGTGATGGCATAAAGGTAGAGTTGAGAGAGAATAAAGTGATGGTGAAAGAAAGGTGAAAATAGACTGTAGAACACTAGTCCCAAAGTGAAATAAAAAGCAAATAATATGACACTTTTAAAAAGCAATAAAAAAGGCAAAGTAAGTACAATAAAAATGTAAAATAGTAGTAGTTAATAATGCTGATTACAAATAAAATTTAATAATTAAAAAGGTTAAATCAAGTCAGAGAAAAAATAGTTTGAGTAAATGATGCAAATAATAAAAATAAAAACAAAAATTAAAAAAACTAAAAAATAAAATATATAGTAGTAAAGGTAATTTACTTTCTCTATCGTTCTGTTTGGCACACCTGTTTCCCAGTCTGGACAGTATTCCAGTTTCCTGCAATTTCATTGATCCTCAGTGTTGTAATCCAGTCCTGATTTTTTAAGCAGGCAGTATCTTAATTTCTGGTGTTCTTTTATTTTTTATTTTGTAATTCAGACTCCGGGAGGCAGTGTTTCTGGGTTGACTTCCAGGACCCTAAGGCTTGTCTAGCTTTCTTTTTCTCTGTGACACTCAACCAGTTTGTGAAGGCTGGAGGGCAAGTCCAAGCAGACTGCACACCCCTGAAACTTGCAGGCTATCCCACCACGTCAAATCAAAATGGGTTGCTCTTTAGAGATCCCCCCTGTTCACAGCTTTGTGGAGCCCCTTTCACAATCACTGATCACACCAGCCCAACTGCCCGGGGCTTCTCCATGTAAACACCTCCCTGATCCTCCAGATTCCGCAGTGTGCGTTTATCGCTGTGAAATCTGACTTTTCCATGGTGCAGTAGAGAGCTCCTTTGAGTCCAAGCGTTCAAGCCACCTGCGATCGGTGTTCTGGGACTCGCAGCTGTGGATATTCAGGCCTCTGACAAGATCCACTTTTCCTATCAAGATGGCGAGATTTCCCTGTCCAAGCCCGTAGCTCAGCGAGGGGACCCAGCCACCGTGGGTGCTTCCCTGTCAGGGGAACCCTGTCCAGAAGTCTTCACCTTCTCCTAGAGTTCGCCTGTCCCTTAGCTTGCTAACAAACACTTCCAGTGCGACCCTGAGCTGTTCTTTCCTTCTGCTCCGGAACAAGACTCAGAACACGGCTGTCTATTCTGTAGCCATTTTCTCCCCCCTCACTGCAACAAAGTTTTTAACAATTTTGTTAAGGCTTTACTATTTAAATGGAGTTTATATAATTGTTAGCAAGTCAGGTTAATTTTGTCACTTTCTTGTTAGGTTATAATTTTAGTTTTGGAAATCTAATTTTTTTAAGTGTAATAACACTTTGAGAAGTGAATACATTAGCAAGTGGCTATGCTGAAGCACCTTAGGATTAATTCTGTAGAAAAAGATCTATGTTGGTTGCTTTGTCTGAGACTTGAGTGCAGACAAAGTTACCCCCATATGGTCCTGCCTTCTTTTGCTGTTGTTAAGGACTGCTGGGACATTCATTTTTACCTGTAATAGATGCAGCAGACATGCCTATACAGTTTGAAGTGAATGGCCTTCATCCTGCTGGTGACATGCCTCCTTTGGAAACTGCCTTAGGTGCTCCTCCTGCCAGACCTATCTCCTCTCAATACTCAAGTAAGTTTTTCTTGGTTGCACTACAGAGAGTATGACAGGTACTGAATACCAGTCTGAGAGAGGATCTTTGTAAGCATAAACTATTTAAAGTCTTAGAGTTGGTGTGTTGCCATTGTTAATACATTTCTGAAATAACTTCCAATTTGAACATGTAAAGAGGAGAAAGTGAAGGAATTGCTTCTTATTAATCTTTCCAGAACAATGGCTTTTAAAAAATGTTTACTGTTGAAACTATTATTAGAAGTCTCCCTCTTTTTCCCATTGACCTCTTCCAGCCTGCTTCTGGTGCCTCCTTCCCCAACCCCCACTTACAAGCACACAGGCCCTTACCATCCATTGTCTTTGTTCACACATTATGCATACAGGTTCACTGACTGAGCTCTTCCCACCCACCTATCATCTCCTGACTTCCCTCGGAGGTTCCACAGTCTGTTCCGTGCTTCTATGTCTCTTGGTCTATTTTTGTTCATCAGTTTACTTTATTCATTAGATTCTACACATGAGTGAGACATGTGATACTTACCTTTCTCTGACTGGCTTACTTCATTTAGCATAATGCTCTCCAGGTCCTTCTATGCTGTTGCAAATGGTAAGAGTTATTTCTTTTTTACTGCCACATTTTTTCTGTTGATACAATGCCTAGGGTAGGGGTGTCGAACTCAATCAGAGAAGGGGCCAAAATCTAAAATCCAGCCGAAATCGCGGGCTGAATGGTTTACTGAACAGTCATAAACTGACAGTGTTAACCAGAAGTGTGAATTTAAAATGAGTGGAACAATCTTTTCCTTAACAGTGCTGTTAACCAACTCATATGCTATCAAGCAAAACAGTAATATTGGTATCAAGTAAAACAGTAATATGGAATGTACCTAAAATGCTCATTGTTTTGTTTTCTGGCTAGATGTCTGTCACCGTTTTCCCCAGATCAATGAGTCAATGTTTGGTTTTATTTCTTGGGCTGTAGCAACCATTTAAGTTCTTGGTCCATTTTTTAATCGAATTGTTTATCTTTCTTTGTTAAATAGTATGAGTTATCTCTATATTTTTAGACTAACTCTTATGGGATGTATCACAGGCAAATATGTTCTCCCATGCAGTAGATTCTCTTTTTATTTTCTTGATAGTTTCTTTTGCTGTGCAGCTGCTGTTTTATTTTTACATAGCCCCTTTTGTTTCTTTTCTTCTTAATTTCCTTTGCCCTAGGCATTGTACCTGTAGACATGTTGATACATAAAATCTCTGAGATTTTGCTACTTGTGGTTTCTTATAGGATTTTTATGGTTTCACAACTTAAATTTAAATCTTTTATCCACTTTGAGTTTATTTTGTGTATGGTGTAACTTGGTGGTCTTGTTTCATATTCATGTATCTGTCTAATTATCACACCATTCCTTGGCGAGACTGGATCTGCTCCCTTGTGTGCCCTTTTCTCCTTTGTCAAATACTAACTGAGTATAATGGTGTGGTTCAATTTCTGGGTTCTTAATTCTGTTCCATTGATCTATATGCGATACTTGTGCCAGTACCAGGCTGTTTTGATTATAATGGTTATGTAGTATAACTTAATTCTAATATTGTCATTCCATTTTTTTTTCTTAAGATTTCAGCTTTTGGAGTCTTTTTGGTATAATTTTTAGAGTATTTTTCTAAGTCTGTGAAACATGCCATTGATATTTTAATAGGCATGCATTGAATCTAAAGATTGCTTTGGGTAATATGGACATTTTAATGATTTTTATTTCTTCCAGTTCATAAACATAGTATATTCTTCCTCTAATTTCGATAGTCTTCCTCTTTTTGCAAATCCTATAGGTGTTTTACCTCCTTGGTTAAGTTTATTCCTAAGTGTCTCAATTTTTGTTGTTGCAATGCTACAAAAATGGGGTTTATTTTTTATTTCTCTCTCTAAGAGTTCAATATTGATGTGTAAAAATGCCATAGATTACTGAATGTTAATTTTATATCCTGCTTTGTTACCAGATTTATTTATTAACTCCAGTAGTTTTTTCTATGGAGTCTTTAGGATTTTCTAGGTTCAGTGTCATGTCTTTTGCAAATAATGAAAGTTTTACTTCCTCTTTTCCAATTGGGATGCCTTTTATTTCTTACTAGGGGCCCAAGGTGAATTCATGCACCTTGAATGGACCAGGGCTTTTGTTTTGCTAGAAGTTTTTTAATTACTGCTTCAATTTCATCAGCTTATTCAGGTTTTCTATTTTTTCCTGATTGAGTTTTGGAAGGTTGTATTTTTCTTACTAGTCCAAGTCTGACAAAGTTTTTGCTTAAGACAGTTCTTCAAAAATGATTCCATTTTGGGCTGTGAGACTTCAGTGGGTACAGGGCAGGTCTTAGCCATCCTCTGCAGCCCCTCCCACCGCAGCCCCCAATCCCCTGTCTGTCAGCAGTCCCGCTCCTGCTGCTGCTGCTGGCATACTAGCCCCACTAGTACCCTGGAACTGGCGATGATTCAGGCCATGTGCCCATATAAAGTTAATAGTTTTAATGACTGTGGTCATTATGTCATTCATGTCCAGAACTTTTCCACACATAGCCTTCAGAGGTGATTGGGGCTGGCAGTGGGTATGAGCAGCAGGATCAGTGCCCGCAGCAGGTTTGAGTGCTGAGCAGGACTGCAGCGCATGAGAGCAAAGAATTTTCAGTAACCACCAGACGCTTGCCCTTATGACAGTGACCAGCACCTTGCCTTTTTCTGGTGCCCTCACTCACCTGCTCCACCATCTTGCCGTGGCTAACACCTGCCATGTTCCAAGCTCTGCTGCCTGCTGCCAGTACCTACCAAGTTTCGCACAAGTCTGCTGGTGGTCAGCACATGTCATAGCAACCAGTTTTTTTCAGTTGTTTGGTTGTTCTGCCATTGCATATTAGTGTTTTATTATATAGGGTTCTTGTCTGATCTCTGTGGCTAGCCCTTACAGCACTATGTTGAACAAAAGTAGTGAAAGAGGACATTCCTGTCTTCCTGTTCTTAGGAAAAATGGTTTTAGTTTTTTGCCATTGAGTATGATATTGGCTGTTGGTTTGTCATATACACCGAGTGGCCAGATTATTATGATCTCTGGATGCATAAGAACTTGGCCACTCTGTGTATGTATATGTGTATGAATATGTGCATGGTGCATAGGTGGGATCCAAACAGCTTGGCCAGGGGGAGTGGCCATGAGCGGTTAGCAGCCTGCCTGCTGGTCAAACTCCTGGTAAAGGGGACAATTTTCACATTAGCCTTTTATTATATAGGATATATACTGAGTGGCCAGATTATTATTCATTCAGAGATTATAATAATCTGGCCATCAGTGTGTGTGTGTGTGTGTGTGTGTGTGTGTGTGTGTGTGTGAGAGAGAGAGAGAGAGAGAGAGAGAGAGAGAGAGAGAGTGTGTGTATTTTTTAGAGGCCTGGTGCATGAACTCAAGCATGGGTGAGGTCAGGCCAACCTGGCTAGGGGGAGGGAACATGGGCAGTTGGCCGGCCTGCATGCTGGTAGAATTGATTGAGGGGACAATTTGCATATTAGCCTTTTATTATATAGAATATACAGAGAGATCATAATAATCTGACCACTCAGTATGGCTTTTTATTATGTTGAGGTATGATCTCTCTATCCCTTCTTTACTGAAAGTTTTTATCAAAAAATGTGTTGGATTTTTTCATGCTTTTTCTGCATCGATTGAAATGATCATATGATTTTTTGTTTGTGTTGCAGTCTGTTAATGTGTACAAAGTCCCTTGTAAGTAGTTTCTTGGTTTAAGTCAGTATACTCAAGGATATGAGGAATTGCTAAAGGAAGCTAGAGACTCTGAAGGGATTGTTATTACTGATTCCAGAGTAAACCATCCTGAAGAGCAATCATTCAGCGAGACTTGATTGAAAACCTTCTCTCCATATATCACCCAATGTCACCTCATTGATTTAATTGTGAAAAAAGAAAAACAAGAGCCTTCTGTTGGGTGTGTTGGGTGCTGGGCATACTGCAGAGGACCAATTCAAGCCCTTTCTTCATAGAACTTCTAGTGGGGAAGTCAGCAGTCAGCTAGCTGTCACCAAGACCTCTGATGGGGTAGATACTGAGTTGGGGCAGCAGCCACCCAAGAGTGAATGTGATAGGTATTTGGCAGAGATCTGGGTGAGTAGGGAATAAAAATAGCATAATATAATAAGGGAAACCAACTGAGTTGATAGGTGTTCTGCCTCAGAGATAGAATCAAAATTATAACACTAGTTTTTAAAATTATTCTTAAGTAGTGTTTATAACGATCATTGAAAAATTCTTCAATAGTCATTTCCCCTCTTCATCTGGGTACAAAGGGAAGTGGAAAAGGCCAAAACTTGATATCTTTGAAGTGCTCAGTGGAAATAGTAATTAGGTGGCTACAAAACGTGCTATTTAACAGCAGGAATATATTCTGAGAAATGTGTCCTTCAGGGATTCACTTTTGTGCAAACACCAGAGTGCAAATTATGTAAATCTAAATAGTACACCTCAGGTAGTCTATTTCCCTCAGGTACAAGCACATATAGAATGTTACTATACAAGACAAGATTAAATCAAACACAAGAGAAAATGATGCCATTGAGAGACATAATAAACATGAGGCTGCTGCCAGTATAACATGGGATGCCATTTCACAGCACATTTTTTCTTTATCAATAGAAAAAATTAACTATAAAACAATGATTAAAAGTGTAGTGCAGTAAATACATAAACCTTTATCATTACTAGAGGCCCAGTGCATGATATTCGTGTACAGGGTATGTGTGTGTATCCCTCAGGCAAACCTGCACTCTCTCCATTTGGGATCATGTAAGGATCTGGCCTAAATGGGCAGTCAGACGTCCCTCTTACAATCCAGGACTGCTGGTTCCCAACCACCCGCCTGCCTGCCTGCCTGATTGCCCCCTCACTACTCCCCTGCCAGCCTGATTGAGGCCTAACTGCTCCCTGTCAGAGAGTGCAGGCCGAGCCCCAACAGCCCTCCCCTGCAGACCTGGTCACCCCCAACTGCCCTCCCCTGAGGCCTGGTCCTTCCAACTGCCTGCCCCTGCAGGGCTATTTGCCCTCACTGGCCCTCCCCTGCAGGGTTGGTGCCCCGCCTTGTGTCTTTCCTGCTGGCCTGGTGCCCCCAACTGCCCTCCCCTGCAGGCCTAGTCCCCCCTAACTGTCCTCCCCTGCTGCCTGATCACTTCTGACTGCCTCTGCTTCAGTCCTGCCACCATCGCTTTCTCTGGAAGGATGTCCAGTAGGTCTCTGGTCTAATTAGCGTATTAACCATTTATTAGGGTACGGCACCCCCTACAGTCTGGTTTCCCCATGCATCCTGCTGTTCAGTCGTTGGGTCTTCCCTCACTAACCCCCCTGCCTGTCTGGTCACAGGCAGCCATCTTGTGAGGGTTAATTTGCATATTACCTCTTTATTATATAGGATAGATATAGAAGATGGGACCACCATCATATATGTGGTCCACTGCTGAATGAAATTTGGTTATGCAATGCACAGCAAAGATGTAGTCCTTTTTTTTTCTTTTTAAAGTCAGCAACCAAACAGCATTTCTATTTTGAAGTTGTTATTCCACGAGATAAAATGATGTCATTTAGGACTGCATACAAAGAGGAGATTGAATTTCTGCCTGTGAAAATAATGATCTGCTTCCTCTGGTATTTGAATTTTGTGACTAGGAGTATGAGACCGAAAAGACTCATAGTAAAATGAAATCAGTTTCTGCCAGGAATTTGGAATGGGGCAGAGCAAAAACTTGTAAAGTCCTTTGGTGAATTTGACTCTTAGCATTCCTGTGGGGGAAGTGTAGCCTACAAAAAATTTAGACTCTTCTAGAGCCAGAGGAGAAAAGCAAGCATAATCATCTGTGCAATTGACATTGAGTTAAACCTGTGACAAGTGAAGACTTTTGCTTTGAGTTACAGGGGATAGACAAAGCCTGGAACAATAGATGTAGGACAAACAGATAAATGTGATTGTGACAAGGCAAGTACAAAATACTGTAAATATGGTGGTGGAGAGGTGTCACTTTAGGAGTACTGTTTTCCTTAGTGGCTGTATCAGTCTTTTATTCCTGCCAGAAGAGTACTAGGGTTACTTCTTATCTACAACCTCACCAGCACTAATAGTAGCTGTTCTGGCTGGTGTGCAGTTGCACCTCATTGTCATTTTAATTTGTATCTTTCAAAAGTGTCATTAAGCATATTTTCCTGTCTTAATGGCCATTTGTATGTTGTCTTTGGAGAATTATCTATTTATACCCTCTGCCCATTTTTATTTATTTACTTTTTAATATATTTTATTGATTTTTGAACAGAGAGGAAGGGAGAGAGATAGAGAGTTAGAAACATCGATGAGAGAGAGTCATCGATGAGCTGCCTCTTGCACACCCCCTACTGGGGATATGCCCGCAACCAAGGTACATGCCCTTGACCAGAATCGAACCCAGGACCTTTTAGTACCCAAGCCGACGCTCTATCCATTGAGCCTAACCGGTTTCGGCCCCTCTGCCTATTTTTAATGTGGTTATTTTTCTTTTGGTGGATTGTATGAGTACTTTATGTGTTTTGGAAATTAATCCTTTATTGTATGTATTATTGGCAAATATGTGCTCCAATAGTGGGTTCCCTTTTCATTTTGATGTTGACTTTTTATGCTTTGCAAAAGCTTTTCAGTTCAATGTAGTTCCATTTGTTTATTTTTTCCTTTGTTTCTTTTGCCTAAAACATCATATCAATGAGTATTCGGATATTTTGTTGCCATTGTTTTCTTTTCAGATTTTTATGGTTTCATGACTTTTATTTAAGTCTTTTTTTCCATTTTGAGTTTACTTTTATGTATGGTGTAATTTGGCGGTCTAGTTTCCTTTTTTTTTTTTTTTTTTTTTTTTTGAAGAGAAGACTTAGATTTCTGTTGTTTATGTCCAATTATTCCAAAACCATTTATTGAAGAGACTGACTTGACTTTATTGTATGCTCTTACCTCCTTTGTCAAGTATTAATAGAACATAATGACTTTGATTTTCTATTCTGTTCCATTTATCTATATGCCTATTCTTGTGGCAGTACCAGGCTGTTTTGATTACAGTGGCTTTATAATATAGCTTGATATACCCAATATTATGATTCCTTCAACTTTGTTCTTTTCTTCTCAAGGATGTTGTGGCTAGGAGACCATTCTACCCTCCCTAGGTGGGAGTTGTTCTGTGGTACTCTTTCCCCTTCCATATGAGAGTCTGTACTTGTTCTTTAATAAATTTCCACCTTTGCTATTAAAAAAAAAAAAGAATGTTGTGGTTATTGGGGTCTTTTTTTTTAGTACCATATTGTTTTGTTTTGTTTTTGTATATTTCTAGATCTGTGAAATATGCCATTGGCATTTTAATAGAGATTGCATTGAATGTAAGGATTTCTTTGGATAGTAGGCACATTTTAATAGTATTCTATCAGTCCATGAACACAGGCATTTAATTGGGTGCTTGCTCAAGGGTGGGATTGTCTAGGAGAGGTAGGAGGAAGGGAGTATTAGGTTGGGAGAGATTGAAAGCAAAGAACAGAGCAAGAGAGGCACAGCTGTATTCAGGTAGCATGAGTCTGGAGTCTTGCTGAAGATACAGTGTACTAGTGCAGAACTAGTGTACTATTTCAAGTCAGCCCGGAAAGAAGGTCTGGGTACCACTAGAGCAGATACAGCAACAGAAATCTAAGTCTTCTCCTCAGAAAATGACAGGTAGTGATGAAGGTGAGTTGCCTAAAGGCAGAGACTAATGTCAGGGAGACTAGGTTATTTTAGCCACAGCTAAGTAAATGGTGAGAGGAACTGTAATTGCAGCAAGGTGGGTAGTTAGAACCTGTAAGCCGTGGTGGCTGAGTGAAGGTAGTATAGAAAGGCATGATTAAAAGAACGGGAATGGAGCTGACACTGGGGGATTTTCTTCAGGTAACTTCAGGTATGAAGCTGATGCTCTGGGATTTTCATGTGTTGATGGCAGGGAACTAGCCACAAACATGGATGAGGCTGGGGGAGAGATCAGTGCTAGAGAAAAAGATATGGGAATGATCAGGGCAGAGCTAATAGCTAAAACTCTAGGAAGGGATCAGCTCAAGTGGGAAATGGTGAGATGACTAGGGGGTTCAGGATGGGGTGCTGATTTTGTACTATTTTTGTACTGCTCTGGGTGAGAGAGGCCTGATTGCCTTTGTGGGATTTAGGGGAAGAGTTATGCAACTGCTGTGGTAATAAATACAGACTAAGTTAGAATCCTAAATAGGGAGCTACAACTTAGTGTAGAGGCAGAAAAGCAAGACTTTTGAAGGGCAGAGGAGGGAGGAAGAGGTGAGGAGGATAAGGAAATGTGATGTTGGTGGGGAGTACAGTTGAGGTTCGTGACAGGGTGACTTGTTTTCATCTAAGTAAAGTAAAAGGCGGGTGCTGTGCCAGGTGTGATGCTGGAGGCTGCGAGACCATGAAACTGGATCAGTAAGCCAACATAGTCAACTGAGATTTGAGCAATCTCCCTTGGTCTTCTGCTCTTTTTATTCTGTCCCTTTAGGTGCAGATGAGAAAGAAGTTAGAGGAGAGAGTGAAGAAGAAAGAATATGGAACTTGCTGAAAGAACACAAGCGGAGAGAAGAAAGAAGGCAGAATGAACAGAAAGCTTTAGAAAGGGAATGGAGGAAACCAGAAAAACTGGGTCAAGAAAGGGTAATAATTATGAGTATAGCTCAGTTCTCCATGCTAGTAGGTAACTAGCAGGCATCCTGATCCTCTCCTGTGCATAAGCCCACTGAGAAGGGCTGTTCTCGTGCATCATAGGAGTCTCATAGGAAAGGGGAACTTTGCAAGACCATGGGCATGTGTTCTCATATTCCTGAAAACACACCCAGAAAGGAGATGGACTCTCCTTTGCTGTAGATCTTCCCAGTGTAAGGGGTTTCCAGGTCAGCTACCTAGTTACCCAGAGATAACCCAGGGAGGTGGCTGCCAGTCCATGGTGGCTTCCTCAGGCTGCCAAGCTCTCTTTCCTTCTCATTGTCTTTGTCTTTCTATGTGCTGATTCTGGTCCCAGGCAGATGGATTACTCTGCTACTTCTTATGCCTGCGGGACCTTAACATAGATTAATCTTTCATATCATGTTCCTTGAATGCCTGGCTCATTTGATCTAGAGAACAGAGACTTTAGGCAAAATAATCCCATCCTTCATTACATGACATATTTGTTCCCCTTTGATAGTAGCAATGAATGAAACAGTTTTCTGGCATGCACATTTTGCATAAAGAACCAGAGTTACAATACTAGTTTTGTATTGTGTTTTTAAAATGTATATGTGTATCTCCTATTTTGTTGGTCATCTACTTACAGAAGATGATTGGAAAGTCTTTCAAGACTGAAATGGAGAAACAATTAGAAATGAGTGCTCAGGAAATGGAAGACAAATCTGTATGTGGTGAATATGCTTTGAAGAAATACATGCACATCACCCAGAAGGATAGAGACATAAAGAAGGTGGATAAGGTACTGATGCTGTGGTCCAGTGGTCTGTGTGTGGAGGTGTGAGTGCGTCTGGGGTTTGTTAGAAAACTTTGGGACAGGAGTTGGAGACAAAAAGGTAACAGCAGAGGAAATCCAAAATTTAAATGGAGCCTTGAGTTATATGTATGTTACACTTTTCACAAAATTTTATCTCCTTTGCTTGGGCCAAAGAGTGAAAGCGGTCCCTGTGATGCCCACTGAGCATCAGGGACTAATGCTCATTGCAGAAGCTGACTCCTGGTGATCAGTGTGCTCCCACGGAGGGAGTGCTGTCAGACAGAAGACGGGGCTTATAACAGGCAAGTGCAACGACAGTGGTGCCAGCTCTCCCACCTCCAAGGCAGCGCTAAGGCTGTCAGTGGGACATCCCTCTAAGGCTCCTGGACTAAGAGGATACAGGATGGGCTGAGGGACCCCCCTGAATGCATGAATTTCATGCACTGGGACTCTAATATGTTACATAAGTCTATAATACTATGACTATTGAGAATGTACACAGGATAGTTTGATGTGCTTGCTAAATTTCATATCTAAAAGTCACCTTCTTTTTAGACTCAAGTTATATATATTGTATATACACACACACTTAGAGGCCAGACTGTTATGACCACCCTGTCAGCACTTCGTTGGGCCACCTTTTGCCTTCAGTACTGCAGTGATTCTTCTTGGCAATTGACTCCATAAGATGTTGAAAGGTGATTTGAGGAATATGACACCTTATCTGATGAATAGCACTTCCATTTCTGTGAGATTTGATGGTTGTGGAACCAGCTGCCTGATGGCTCTTTTAACTTCGTCCCACAAATGCTCAGTTGGATTGAGATCTGGTGATGGTGGGGGCCACCTAAGCAAGGTAATGTCTCCCTCATGTTCTTGAAACCACTCCTGCACAATATGAGCACCATGGCATGGCACATTGTCTTGTTGGAGGAAGCCATCTCCATGGGATACACCATCAACATGATAGCGTATCATCATGTTACACCGTCAGCATAAACTTGATCAGCAACCGTACTTAGGTATGTTGTGCTATTCAGACGTTGTTCCACATGAAATAAGGGCCCAAATCATGGAAAATATGCCCCAGATCATAATGCTGCCCCCCCCCCACCAGCTTGAAGGGTTGTACTCATGCATGTGGGGTGCATGCTTTCATTCTGTTTCTGCAAAATTCTCACTCTGTCACTGCATGATGCAACTGGAAACATAGGACCACATGACTTTTTTCCAATGCTTGACTGGCCAATCCTTATTATGTTCCTATGCGAATTGGAGACATTTTATCTTGGTGACTGCAGACAGCAAAGGTATTCGGAAAGGCCTTCAATTTCCATATTCTATATGATGCAGTGTATAGCTAATTTGGCCACTCACTGTGTGTGGTGTGTGTGTGTGTGTGTGTGTGTGTGTGTGTGTGTGTTTAATATACATAGTTTTCAGCCCAACGAGCATGGCTCAGTGATTGAGTGTTGACCTGTGAACCAGAAGGTCACAGTTTGATTCCTGGTCTGGGCACATACCTAGGATGTGGGCTTGACCCCCAGTGGGGGACATATAGGAGGCAGCCAATCAGTGATTGTCATCATTGATGTTTCTATCTCTACCTCTCCATTCCTCTCTGATTTTCTTAAAAGTCATTTTAAAAGAGTTTCAGAGAAATTGAATGTGTTTAAAAAATCGATACCTTAATACATACCTAATTTCAAAATTATTCTTTCCCCTCTTTTCAGAGCTCAATAAAGGGTGTTAGAGAAGGCTCACAAGTGAACACGCTGCCTCTAGTGACAAAGACTAAAAGGTATGATTTCTCCAACATTGTATTATGCAAATCATTTATCATATTGCTGGCTTTGTTAGCCAAGGGCACCATTCAGATGTTGAAGCCTGCCTTTAAGGAATCAATGAATTAATCAAAATTACTGACTTCTAAATAAATATATTGTATTTTGAAGTTATATTATGGCTACTGATACAAAATTACCGTATTTTTCGGACCATAAGACGCTCCGGACCATAAGACGCACCAGTTTTTAGAGAAGGGAAATGAAGAAAAAAAGATTCTGAAACAAATAGTGTCCTAAAATATTTTATGTGCATTAAAACCCAACATCACAGTCATAAACACATGTAATCAACCCTGTAAAGTAAACAGCATTTAGAACCATTTTAGAGCCGGGCAAGCACACAGAGACCACACACAGCCGGCAAGTAAAAAAACTTTTTTTTAAAAGTCTATGTGTAGGCTATATTTAGACCATAAGACGCAGGGACTTTTGCCCCCCACTTCTGGGGGGGAAAAAGTGCGTCTTATGGTCCGAAAAATACGGTAAGTGAGGGCAAAAGCTCCTTAGGGGTGGAATGAGAACATTAGAAAGGTCCCCAAATGAGCTGTCAAGAATTTAACAAATTTTTAAAATTTTTCTCTTTCTTTAATTTGGTTTCACAGGCCTGTCTCATGAAGAACCAGGTGACTTGGTAACCACCTGTGCTGCCAAACTTTTTTCTCATGAACACAATATAATAAAAAGAATACTCAATAAAAGTTGTTTGTTTAATCTATTGTGGTTTCTTTTTCATTTCATTTGTGCTCTAGAGTATAAAATTAAAAACACATCTGTACTGCAGAGCAGCTATCTGATGGTTTATCACAGCTGTCAATGTGAAGCCTTCTGGAAAACATTTACATGTAAGATTGAGGGTTGGTTGATTGTTGGTTTACAAACAAATACCTTGTAGTTCCTGTTCTTCTTTGCTTTGATATCCTGGTAAGCCTGCCTTTTGCTGGCATCCTTTAAGTAAGCCCAGCTTGAAGACAATATAATGAGGAAGTGGATTTGGAAAAGAAGGGAGAGCATGATGGCTAGTGAGCAAAACAATGTGCTAAGTATATTACAGAGACTTTACCATAAGAAAGGGTAATTAAAACTCATTCTGCAATCAGAGGCATCAGATACAGAGAGCATGTTCTAGTAGATTCAATATTAAAAGGCAAAAAAAAGTTATACAGATACAATGCAACTGAAAAATGGTCAGTTATTAATAAAAGGCAAATATAAAACAAGAGGAAAGTTTTTTTTTGTTTTGTTTTTTGTTTACCGTTTTGAGAGTAATTTTATAAACTAAGGCAGAAAGTTAGAAATATTATGGTTATCCTATCTAATAAAAGAGTAATATGCAAATGGTACCCCCACTTCACCCACAAGCAATGCCCACCAGCCAGTCAGGAGCAAGTCATCAAATTAGCCCAACCAAAATGGCCACAGAGGGAGCAGGAGGCTTGGGTTTGGAAGATGCCAAGCTTTCTTCCTGCTCTGGCCTGCTTTGGCCTCCACTTAAGGCTACAAAGTTTCAATTATAGAAAATAATTAAATCCCAGATACCAGGGCCTCCACTTGGGTCACAGTGGGTGTGGCCAGCCTGCAAATCACCACAGGTCCCTTGCCTAGGCCGCCCCACACCCCAAGGGAACCCCACCTTGATCCAGGACACCCTTCAGGGCAAACCAGCCAGCCCCGCCCATACACCAGGCTTCTATCCTATCTACTAACAGTAATATGCAGATTAACCATCACTCCAGCACACAAGATGGCTGCCTTTATATAGTCGAAGATTCTGCTCCTAATTATAGACACAAGATGGCCACCACAAGATGGCCAGCAGGGGAGGGCCGTTGGAGGGACCAAGCCTGCAGGAGAGGGCCTTTGGGAGGGACCAGTCCTGCGTAGTAGTGCAGTTAGGAGTGACGAGGGCCAGCAGGGTAGGGCAGTTGGGAGCAACCAGACCTGCAGAAGACAGTTAGGGGTGACCAGGCTGGCAGAGGAGGGCAGTTATTGGCAATCAGGCTGGTAGAGCAGCTAGGTGTTGATCAGGCTGTCAGGGGAGTGGTTAGGGGGTGATCAGGCTGGCAGGCAGAAGCATTTAGGGGCAATCAGCCAGGAAGGCTAGTGGTTAGGAGCCAGGAATTCCTGGATTGTGAGAGGGATGATAGACTACCCTTTAGGCCTGATCCCTATGTGGACATCCCTGCAGGCTGGGCTGAGGAACACTCATACCCCATGCACAAGTTTCATGCACTAAAGCCTCTAGTTTTCAAATAATTGTAAAGATCTTTTCTTTGGATGATCTTTCACATGATACAAATCAATTACACTAAAGACCTAAAAAATGTAAGCAATGTTTAATTTGAATAAATAATAACTACACAATTAACATAAAAGAACTGAGTGAATTTCAAAATCAAATTTAAGAATTACAAGTAGCCAAAACCGGTGTGGCTCAGTGGATAGCGCGTCAGTCTGCAGACTGAAAGGTCCCAAGCTTGATTCTGGCCAAGAGCATGCACATTGGCTGCGGGCACATCCCCAGGTGGGTGGTGTGCAGGAGGCAGCTGGTTGATGTTTCTCTCTCATTGATGTTTCTAGCTTTCTATCTATCTTCCTTTCTCTCTGTAAAAGATACTTTTAAAATATATTTTTTTAAAAAGAACTATAGGTAAACCATGCAGTCTGAGTTAATTTCTAGTAGTAAAAAGACTCATTTTATAACTACTATTATTTCATTTGAAAAATGTAAAAAATCAGATTGCGAATTTTACTGTTGAAGTGGCAACACCTTTTCACATTTATTTCCCTCATCTTTCCTACAAAAATCTACATCTCGGGCTTTTTATATTTCAATACTAGAGCCCAGTGCACTTGGTCCTGGCCAATTTGGCTCAGAGAATAGAGTTTTGGTCTGCAGGCTGAAGGGTCCCAGGTTCTATTCCAGCCAAGGACACATGCCTGGGTTTTGAGTGCTATCAAAAGTAGGAGCCATGCAGAAGGCAGCTGATCAATGATTCTCTCATCATTGATGTTTCTAACTATCCCTTCCTCTCTAAAATTAACATGTATATATAAATAAAATTCAAACTAAAAAGAAAATTCATGCACTGGAGAGGGGTTCCCTCAACCTGGCCTGCCCCCTTCCACAGTTCATGAGCCCTCAGGGGCAGGAGGTGATCAGGCACTCAGAGGAAGGTGATGCCCCAATCCACTGTAGGTATCGCAAGCCTCCACCAGCCCTGGTTACCTGAGCCTCAGGTGGCCCTAGGGAACTGGGCAGCCACAATCCAAGACTTTCTTGCACCTTGGGCATCAGCTGGGAAGTCGACATCTGAGGCTTGCTTGCACTTTGTGCCAGCTCTTGGTGACGGCGGGGGGTGGGTGGTGGTGGTGGTGGTGGTAGTGGAAGGGGCTTGAGCACACTGGAGGCAGGTGTGCAGAATGGCTGTTCCACTTGTGGCAGGTCTAGCCATGCCATGTGTCTACTGTCCTGGCTTACTACTCACAAAAACAATTTACCATTGCCAATTTTGTGGGCTCTACAAGGAAAGACTATGTTGGGCAAAAAAACCGACTCATAAAAGTCCTTTATCACAGAAAATGAATGGGTGGTCTTTATTTTACTTCAAATCTTTATCTGATTTGTTGAAGTGACATTTATTTGGTAGTGACCCCTGTAATCAAAGAGCTAAGTATTGATAATATAGAAGCAAGCAACTTGCCAGACAAAAGTTTCAGATAAAAGTTATAAGATTGTTCAAAGAACATAGTGAGAACTACAAGGCACTTAATAAAAACTGCAACAGCATGAAAAAAAATAGAAACCATACAAATAACCAGTCAGAAATAAAGGATACAATATCTTAACCTGGCCAGTGTGGCTAAATTAGTTGGAATATTGTCCCATAAACTGAAAGTGGGTTCAATCTCCAATCAGGATACATTTGGGAGGAATTCAATTATTTTTCATACACACTGATGTTTCTCTCCTGAAAATAATTTAAAATACCTCACTTTTAGCTGCTCATTAAAAAAAGAAGAAGAAGAAGAAGAAGAAGAAGAAGAAGAAGAAGAAGAAGAAGAAGAAGAAGAAGAAGAATATATCTGAAACGAGGAATACACTGAAAGGAATAAATGGTAGGTTAGATGTAGCAGAGGTATGATTCACCAATTTGGGGGATGGTACAGAAAACACAATCAGATCAACAAAAAGAAAAAAATAATTAGCCCTGGCTGGTGTTATTGATTAGAGCATTGGAACACCATGTTCTTGGTCAAGGACATGTGCCTGGGTGGAAGGTTTGTCCCTGGCCCTGGTTTGGATGCATGCAAGAAGCATCAGTTGATGTGTCTCACATTGATCACTCTCCTCCCTTTCTTCATTCTCTGAAGAGCAATAGAAAAAGTACTGGTAGGTGTGGATTAAGAAGAAAAAAAAGGATAGTTCAAGGGAAATTTGGGACAATATAAAATGCACCAATATCTGCATCATAGGGGAATCAGAAAGAGAAGGGATTGAGTAAGGAAATGAGAACTTATTTTCAGAAATAATGAACAAAAACTATACTATCCTTGTGAAAAAAACACACACAGCATACAAGTCCAAGAATCACCGTCCCAAATAAGAGGCCCACACCAGGACACATAATAATTAAAACTGCAAAGTTCTTTATTACTGAAAACGAATGGGTGGTCTTTATTTTAGAAAATATAAAATCTTAAAAGCTTCAAGAGAAAGACAGTTCCCATAAGACTATCAACTGAAACAGCAAGTCAGATGGGATTGGCATGAAATAGTCAAAGTGATGTAGATAAAGGACCTACAAACAAGGCTACATTATCTAGCAATGCTATTATTTAAAATTAGAAGATAAAGAGCTTCCCAAACGAAATGAATAGAAATTTGTTACCACTGAAATATTATAAAAAATGTTAAAGGGGCTGCATTAAGGAGGAGGGGGAGAGGAAGTGAACAGGAAGAGGTAAAGAAGAAAAAGGAACATAGTTAAAAGACTAAAATAGCAATATACTGTATATGGAACACAGTAATAATTAATGTAAAAAGTTTAAATGTTCCTAACTTAAGACATAGGGTAAACAAAAATTATATATATATATATATATATATATATATATATATATATATAGAATTTTTGTCTAAAAGAAGCAAGCAACTATTTACAGTCTAAAAGCAAAAGAATATACCTGATAAAATATATTTAAAGCAAAAGCTATGGTAAAAGACAACAAAACACTAAAAAATGATAACAATAGCAATCCAACAAGAGTATATAAATCTTGTAAATATTTATGTACCAAACATAGGAGCCCAAAATATGTAAAGCAAATCTTGAAGGCAGGAGGTTATCAGCAATACAGTCACAGTAGGGGATTTAAACACCCCATTGATATCAATGGAAAGATAGTTCAGTTAGAAAATCAATAAGGATATGGTGGCTTTAAATGACATACCAGATCAGATGGATGTAATAGACAGCTTCAAAAAATTTCACCTAAAGCAGTACAAGTGCACATGAAACATAGAGGTAAGACACATGTTAGGACACAAAGTAAGCCTCAATAAATTTAATAAGATTGGATCAATAAAGAATCTTCTCTGACCATAATGCCATGAAACTTTACATCATTCACAAAATGAAAATTGAAAAATACAAAAAGACATAGATGCTATAGGCCTACCTCAAGAAACAAGAAAAAACACTAATAAACTAA